TTTTCAAGGGATTTTCAGGGGATTGCAAGTCAAAAAGAGGGAACAAAAACACACACAGGGGTGAATACATATATATATCTATCTATATATATATATATATATATATAGATAGATATGTATATCTATCTATCTATCTATCTATCTATCTATCTATATATATATATATATATATATATATATATATATCATATAAATTTGCTTAGTGGCAGTACATGTGCACTTGTTCTTTGTAAATGGGGCAAAAATGTATTGTATTAGGCTATTTTCTGTACTGAACACATTTTGTTTTTAAATTAATTTCAAAAAATAGAATACCACATTTGACCACTAGATGGTGATGCGTTTGATACAAATTTCCTATGATACGTAGCTCCATCTAGAGGCCAAATGTGGTCTTTCCAGTTTAAATCAATGAAGCACATTCATTCAGTGCAGGAAAATATACTAATAACATTTATTTTTGCCCCTCAAGGAATTCATATACAGACATTAAAAAATATACCCAATAAACTCAGGCTGAACCAGGCACATAAAGTCTATCTTTGCTCACATCATTAATCGCATTGTTTGCTGTTTCTCATTTTTTTCTTGGCGCTCAGTAAAGAATTATTAGTTTTGGGTATTGACACTTCAGGCATCTAACAAGATAATATAGGGGTAGTTAGTGTTAGGGGCTAAACAGCATGTATTGTCTACGATAATGGTAAGATCAAATGCTCTGATGAACAATTTTTCAGAATTTCCTTAGGAAACCCTTTATTAAAATAATTGTAATTGTAAATTGTCTGCTATAGATGGGCTATACCTTTGCTTTGTATTGATCTTTTTTAACATCCTGCTGTGTCTCTAGGATAGGAGATAAAGGAAAATTCCCTGATTACACATAAACAGAAAAGAAGCTGATAGAAAAGTTTGAATCTCCGACTAATATTTCTCTGGGGCAGGAAGTAAAGGGAAATCTCCCCAAAAAGAAACTGACAGATGTCTACTCTAGCCAAAAAACGACAGAGGTCTTCTTTATCCTAAAAAGAAAATAATAAGAAAAAAAAGAAATTGACAAAGGTCTACTAGCTAAAAAAGACAAAAAGGTCTATTTTATATAATAAAACAAAATGCAGTTTGCTTTTGATCCATTTCTGCTGTGCTTTTTGCAGAGTTTTTTTGCTTTTTTGCACACTCATTTTTCATGTGGTTTTGATGTGTTTTGCATTTTTTTATTCTTTTTTTGGACAATTTGTTGTTGGGCAGATTAACCACTTGCCCTCCAGAAGATTTCTGACCAGGCCATTTTTTTTGCGATACGGCACTGTGTTACTTTAACTGACAATTTTGCGGTCATGCAACACTGTACATAAATTACATTTATGTCATTTGTTCTGACAAATAGAACTTTCTTTTGGTGGTATTTAATCGCCTATGCGTTTTTTATTTTTTTGGGTTATAAACAAAAAAATGGACAATTTTCAAAAAAATAAAATTTTTTTTGACTTTTTGCTATAAACCATCCAAAAAAAATGAAAAAAATTAAATGTTGTCATAAATTTAGGCCAGAGTGTATTGTGCTCCATGTCTTTGCTAAAAAAAATCCCAATAGGTGTATATTAATTGGTTTACGTGAAAGATATGGCGTCTACAAATGGCAGTATACATACTGGGATTTTTGTTTATTCTTTTTTATACTAGTAATGGCAGCGATCAGCAACTTATAGTGGGACTGCGGGACTGCAGCAGGCAATCTGACATTGGGGGGGAACTGGCTAACTGTAACTAGAAAAAGCACTGACACTGTACTAATGACACTGGGCAGGAAGGGGTTAACTTCCTGGTGCGATCATCAGGGTTCCTGGAGCGATCATCAGGGGTCATCTGGGATGATCAAAGGGTTAACTGTGTTGGGAAGTATTTTTATTGTGAAATATGTGCCGTTTTAATAAGCAGACCTGCACAGCAGAGCAGAACATCTACGCTGAAAGCAGAGAGATCTGTGTTGTTCAGCTTTGCTGATGATCACTGTGTCCCGGACAAAAATCGCTGGCCAGGACTCGGTGATTGACATACTTAGGAGCCAACAACAGAGTGGGTAGGGTGGCACTCACGCATGCCCCCCCTACTCGGAAATGCAATATCACAGATATTTACATGATTTTGCCCACCGAAGACGCCCTGCAGCAGTACATCTGCTATGGGGTGGGGGCAAGTGATTAATAAAAAACCCAAAGTGCAAAAAGTGTAAAAAAACGCATCAAAAATGCACTACATGCTTTTCTGCAGCATCTCCAATGCAGTCTATTGAACCAAAAATGCAGGTGTAAAAGTTTCCTTCCCAGGAACTACATGATTTGCATTTAAAAAAGTTCCTGACCCTTTTAAAACTGAAATAAGCATAGATGTGATTGCGGCCCATAGGAAACCATGCTAAATGGACTGTAGTGCATTTCTGTATGAAGCAAAAAGCACCAAAAAAACCACATAGGTTTGAACCAGGCCTAAGGCTTGGTTTTCACTAGTGTGGGCTATGCACCCTACGTTTGCGTGGGCCCGGCAACCCATTAATTTAAATGGACTGCTGTGCCGCATGTTCATGCATGCATCTTTTTGAAAAACGCGACCGCAGGGAAATCGCATTGTCTTTTTGACTATGTGGTGTCCCTATAGTTCCCGCCAGGGGCAGACTGACAACTCATGGGGCCCCCGGGCAATAGGGGATCATGGGGCCCCTGTGTCCTTGTCCAAACTCAAAAAAGCCTATGAAAAAGGTACCCGGGCATCTCATGGGGCCCCCTACTGACCCCGAGCCCTTGGGCAGTGCCCGAGTTTCCAAATGGTCAGTCCGCCCCTGGTTCCCGCATGCACAATCATGCTGCGGGGCTTAGATGCATGGGGGTGCCATTCAGAATGAATGGCAGGTCATGCATCTCCCAAGAGCAGAGCAATTCAGCTGGAATTGCACCTGTTCCTGTACCCAAAACTGCGGTGAACCGAGTGTAAATGTATTTATTTCAGGTACTTATATAGCGCCGTCAATTTACGCAGCGCTTTACACATATATATTGTACATTCACATCAGTCCCTAACCCTCAAGGGGTGTACAATCTAAGGTCCCTAACTCACAGTCATACATACACATACTAGGGCCAATTTAGACAGGATCCAATTAACCTACCAGCATGTCTTTGGAGTGTGGGAGGAAACCCACACAGGCACAGGGAGAACATGCAAAAACTCCAGGCAGGTGGTGCCATGGCTAAGATTCGAACCAACGACCCTAGTTCTGCCAGGGGGAAGTGCTAACCATTTGGCCACTGTGCTGCCCCATGTTAAGCTGACTATTGCAACACAAGCTGGGATTTTTTTTATCTTTTATCAGGCTATTCTTTTTTTTTTTTTTATCTTGATGTTTTGACTGCAATTCTTTTTTAAACATCTTCATAAACTGTAAATTGTGAATATATTACATGTTTGCACTCCGGCGACATGTCTTCCAGAATATTTTGCCATTTCAGAGAAGCCACCCCTGCAGACTATTAAGAAAGCTCTCCATGCATACAACCATCCCTTACAACATCTATATTTTTTATCATATAAGCAGGTTTATTATTTTACAATACAGCATGTTAGCGCTGTTATCAGTGTATAGATATATCAGCAGGACTCTATGCCTGGAGGAGCTGAGGCAGCAGGGGACGGAAAGAACTTATAATTATATACAGATGTATAAAGCGGGTCCGAATACTTGCTTATGCTTATCTTTTTGTTTATTTTGAACTCTATATAGCATATAAGTTTTCTTTTATCTGAACTCTGTCGGCAGCTTGTCAGCTTTAATCCACGATGTTTGTCATCCCTTTGATTTGATATGTTCTGCTTATTTCCCAATGGATTGGATTAAAGCATAGTACTCTGTATTTACTTAACAGCATAGTATAAAACAGTGGTGTAGGCCAATTACCAATTCCGATGGTAGATAATGTGTCTAAGTGAAGATGGCGGAATTTACAATTGTTGTCTTTGATGACAAGTCCTACATTTGTGATGTCATTTTATTAGCAGGAACACATTTATTTGTGATTTTTTTTTTTTCCTCTACTTTTTCAACTTTCACTGTATTGATATAGTGATAGTCTCATCAGGGGTGGACTGACCATTTGGAAACTCGGGCACTGCCCGAGGGCCCGGGGTTGGTTGGGGGCCCCATGAAATGCCCCTGGTACCTTTTTCATATGCTTTTTTGAGTTTGGGCAAGGACACAGGGGCCCCATTATCCCCTATTGCCCAGGGGCCCCATGAGTTGTCAGTCCACCCCTGAGTCTCATAAAGCCACCTAACATTATCATTAACCACTTGCCTTCCAGAGGATTTACTTTAACTGACAATTGCACGGTCATGCAACACTGCATCCAAAATGAAAGTTATGTCCTTTTTTCACACAAATGGAGCTTTCTTTTGGTGGTATTTGAGCACCTGTTCCAAAAACAACCTCCTGCACTTAAATGGAATCCTATCCTTCAAAAGCTGCCGACACCAAACTTATACCCAAATAAGTGAATGATCAATTAAAATAAATAGTGTAGCGCTAATAAATACTAACAAATTACGTGTTAAAATGCACAAACTCTATATACATCCCCTACATATCTATATCCAAGGTGATAAATCAATACATAAATAATAAAATTTTAATTGATCACCTGAGTGTTTTTTTTATTTTTTGCGCTATAAACAAAAAAAATACCGACAATTTTGAGAAAAAAAAAACAATATTTTTGACTTTTAGCTATTAAACATGTCCAGTAAAAAAAAAAATAAAAATAAAATTTTGTCATACATTTAGGCCAAAATGTATTCTGCTACATATCTTTGCTAAAAAAAAAAAATCCCAATACATGTAAATTAATTGGTTTACATGAAATTTATAGCATTTACAAATGGCGGTATAGATACTGGAATTTATTTTTTTTTAATATTAGTAATGGCGGCCATAAGCAACTTATAGCAGAACTGCAGGACTACGGAGGGCATTCTGACACTGGGGGGAACTGACTAACTGTCACTGATATCCCCAGTGACATCAATACAGTGATCAGTGCTAATAAAAAGCACTGACGCTGTACTAATGGCACTGGTCATGAAGGGGTTAACATCTGGGGCAATCAAAGGGTTAATTGTGTGCTTTTTTTTTTTTTTTTTACTATGTGCCATGTGTCTGTTTCACTGCATAAGCACATTGCTTTGTATGGCTCTGCTATGCAGAGTCATACAAAGCAATGTGCAGGAGCTGACAGGGGAGAGATCTGTATTGTTTACATATAGGTCTCTCCCTTGTCAGTGATCCTCGGTGAACCTCAGGTGCTGACGGGGAATTATCAGTCGGGACCTATGAGCGAAAGCTGAGGCAGCCAATGACCGTACATGCGCACCCTATCCAGAAATGCAAAATCACATCTATATACATGATTTTGCGCAGCCCTGTAGCCCTGTAGCAGTATTTCTGCTATAAGGCGGAGGGAAAACGGTTAAACCACTTCAGCTCTGGAAGGCTTTGCCCTCTTCATGACCAAGCCATTTTTTGCTATTTAGCACTGCACTACTTTAACTGGTAATTATGCAGTCATGCAATGATGTACCCAAACAAAATGTATTTTGCTTTTTTCCCACAAACAGAGCTTTCTTTTGGTGCCATTTTATCACCACTTGTTTTTTTATGTGTTATTATATAAACAGAAAAAGACCAAAATGAAAAACAAATTACTTTCTGCTATAAATGCTTTATAAATGTAGGCCAAAATGTATTCTGCTATTTCTCTTTGGTAAAAAAAAATCCCAAAAAGTGTATATTTATTGCATGAAAGCTATAACATCTACAAACTATGGTATATATACTGGATATATGCATACTTTACATTACTAATGGCAGTGATCAGCGACTTATAGTGGGACTGTAATAGTGGAGCAGGCAATGTGACACTAACTGACACTGGGTGGGAACTGACAAACTGACACTGACATCTCCAGTGACACTAATACAGTGATCAGTGCTTAATCTATACACTATCACTGTACTTTAAAGGGGGTTAACATTTAGGGGCGATCAAAGGGTTAAGTGTGTGCCTAAAACCACATAATGTGTGCTGATTTTTACTAAGAATCCCTTTGCTCATTCTCTGCTTTGCAGGGAAAAGAAACAAAGGATTGTTTACCTCTGTATAGAACTCTGTGTTGATTGTCAATACAGGACTCTGGGTTGTGATTGGATACAGCTGATCAGCAGGTCCTGGCCATGCATCATTGGCCAGGACCTGCTGACAAAAAATGTATCTAATCATAGCAGGAGTCGGCGGGAAATGTGGTATGGGGTACCCAGAAGAGGCCTTTTCCCCATCCTCAGTACATTGCGGGTGGGCAGTTTTTAAATGGTTAAATTCCTGCCACCCATAGATAACACTGGTGCAAAAAAAAGTATTTTTCCTTTTTTATTGAAGCCATATGGAAAATCTGGTAGAGAGGAACATGTGACTCTCTCCCTGCTAACCATGTAATGCATATTTGCAGTGGCAAAAAAGGTGATCTTGAACTTCCAGCCACCGCACATATGTGTCTGGGGATCCATGAAGATTATGTGCTGACAGAGCACACCTAACACACTGACCAAGTTATAACCTGAAGCACTTGAATATGCCAGCAGGATGGGCTCCTGAACATGTAACTGCTGTGAGAGTCAACCACAGTGGTCACACGATGCAGAAGCCATGCTGCCTCCCAGGCATCAAAACCCACTTAAAGGGTCACATTAGAATTTAACAATGCAGAGGTATCTCAGAAGCCAATCTTCATGTTCCAAAAATGGAAATGGGAATTGAAGCGTCACACCACTGATAAGATGTCTAGATGCAGTTTTTCCAGGGGGACAATCCAAAGAGTGACATGTTTTGGAGGCTTGATTGAACACAATGTCAATGAACTAGAGCAGGACCGTTAATAGTATTTTTTCCAGTGTGATTACAAGCATAGGTCTTGTCAGCAACTGGTTTGGCAGCCTTGATGAATGGAGCCTTGAAACACGTTGGCTACGCTTTGGATTGTCCCCTTGACTTTTATTGGAATGCAGCTAGACCTCTTAGCCGTTGCGTAATGCTTCCATTGCCATTTTTGTTACACTACACTGAAAGCCAAGGAGACCATGAAGATCCTCCAAGGTGTAGAAGCTGCCTGCCTGGGAACCACATTATTTGCATCAACATCAATATTTTAAGATAGCAATGCCAGTAAGATAATCTTATGGGTTCAAAGCTATTTTTACCCTTTCCTCAACAATCGTCTGGTTCCATCATCGATATGTGAGGGTAGATTGAAAATCCTTGGCTCTGTGAAAGCTCCAACCACATTAACTTGGACATTTAAGAAGAATGATTCTTGTTTTCAATGTAGTGAGCAAACAATAGATGAGCACTGGAAATGGAAGTATAAGGAACGGGGTGCAAAGCACATTTTCACTTCATGTTTCTTTTTCCTTCTTTTGGTGGCACTGTCCCTTTAACAAATAATCTTTAATGGACTCATTCACACTTCCTGCCTCGATCACTGTTTCTATACTATAATCCGACCTATTCCTCCTCAGTCTGCCTCCAGATCCCGTCCACATGGGAATTTCTTGACAGACTCATTCATCTCACTCAACGCACGTATTCTTTTGCCTTGCAAGTCAAAGCACAAACTTGACACTGCTTCACGAGTGACTCCAAACAAATGTTCCCGCACATGCAAATCTAAACACAACCGTCTATTGTAATATTTCAACCCTTATGACCAACTTATTGAAATCCTAGCACAGATATAAGCACAATTATCTTATCTGAATGAGTAATAGTGTTCGGTGAATGCAACTTTTTAAAAGCTTGATTGGTTTTTGACAAGAAAATGAGATATGCGATAACTTTCATATAGCGGTTGCTCCGTTAAACAGTGACTCACCTAATCATTTTTCCGATTAGTTCTGCAAGTCTTTTGAGAGCATAAAAAGCCAAGCATAACAAATAACCTTGTATGAACTAAAATGAGGCAATCAAAAGGGCACTTATATAATATTCCAGCCTTTCTTCAACCATTCCAATTTGATTCATACAGTATATGTAGTGCTAATAGGGATGGATCACAAGATGCTGGACACATGCACTACAAATGGCCAAATTATGTGCATAGCATTGTCTAGAGTGCCACTTGAGATGCGTATCACAAGAAGACTGGTTGACAAAAATGAAGGAGGATGCTTCTCAGGCAGCTCACTTTCAAAAGGCTTGGTAAGTGTCACCTTTTGGGTAGTATCAGCCAGGGGCGGACTGACCATTTGGAAACTCGGGCACTGCCCGAGGGCCCGGGGTCAGTAGGGGGCCCCATGAGATGCCCCTGGTACCTTTTTTCATAGGCTTTTTTTAGTTTGAGCAAGGACACAGGGGCCCTGTGATCCCTTATTGCCCGGGGGCCCCATGAGTTGTCAGTCCGCCCCTGGTTTCAGCCTTTGACTTTAAAAAATAAGGGGTAAAATAAATGCAGAATTCTGTAGCCAAGAACCCAGCAGCTACATGACACTAAATAGTGAAATACTGTCACTGATAAACAGAGACAGCTGAAAAAACCTAATCAAAAGCTACAATTTTGTAGCACCATTGGCTAAAAGGCTGGAGTGCCTGGGACTTGTCACATGCTCAAAATACAAGATTCATATTCTGCTTTCTGGACTGCCTGTGATATTTCATACACTTTAGGCCTCTTTATAATGCAAAGAGAAAATAAAGGTTTGCACCATAGTAATGTAAAGGTGTTGATGGGTGCATTCTTCTTCTTATTATTATTATTATTACATCGAGTTTATATAGCGCCAAAGGGTTTGCTCAGCGCTGTACAATTCTTAGGCTCCATGTACACGGGGCGTTTTGATAATGCTGGCAACGTTAGCTGTGTAAAGTCACATTAAAAAGTCCAGTGATTTTTTTCCAGCCAAAAAACAATTACAGTATATCTGTGCATGGACACATAGGATAACATGTTGCGGAGTTTACTGGCTGTAGAAAAAAAAGTCAAAAGCCAAACACAGCCGCTGTAAAAACATCAAGTGTGCATGAGGACTTATGGGTGGCAACATGTAGCCATGAAGCAAGTACTTTACTACAATAAAAGAATCTCTGCCCTTTCACTGGGTGGCTCAAATAGTACATAGTTTGTTATAGGAGCACCATTTAGGTGGTTCCGGAAATGGCAAGTCCAATAAATAAAACAAATATAGAAATCTTGGAACTCCTGGGAAGACTGTATACTAATGATGTTGACAGCGTCAAAATTGTGATACCCAATATACCAAACCAATGAACCAAAAAAGAATAGCACTAAAGACACTTAACAACATTAACAAAACTAAATAAGCAATTAAAGTGTCCAATGAAATTATGTAAATCATCAATTTTTGAGTAAATGTAGTCCATAATATAGATCCATGCAGGCCAAAGAATCATCAAGGAATAATGACAGATTACACCACTTACCGGTGTGATCAGTGGTCAAAAAGCACTTGATGGTAATGTCACAAACTATGGATAATTCATAAGGCCTTCCAAAGATTCAGCATTATTTTATCCAGCAGAAATCCATAGACCAGGTATCCAATACGTAAAAATAAAACAACTCACAAAGTGTAATTTGTGATACAACTAATGCAAATTTCATAAGATGTCCTCACTAACATATGAGCAATTCATAGTGAGCAAAAACAAACACATACTGCCACAGTGAAACTGCAACTCAGCCTGTTTAGTGAAAAACTTCAACAGTTAGGTATAGCACTCAGCGTGGTCATCCAAACTGCTTAACCTCCCTGGCGGTCTGATTATTTTAGATTTTTGGTGCTGAAAGCGGTACCATTATTTTGCATGGAAATATGTCGTTTTTTTTTTATTGTAGGCTGTAATTTTTAGGAATAACTCACTGAAATCTGTCCGAACAAGAGTCTAGTAAACATCCCAGGTATGATAAAATTTGAAACACGAAATCATAAATTATAATCTAATAAATAATCAGAAAAAATAATAATATAATAATAATACATTTAATTCAATAATATAATCAAACCGAAAACACTGAAATTTGAAATATAGCGCCAAGTTCACACATCACTGAGCAAAGTCGCAAAATCGTTTTCAGTGTCTGATGACGAATTTCCCCACAAATCATTATCACTCAATTCTACAAGTGGTTCTGATTTACTATCGCTGTTCTCTAGCCGGTCTAAACCCACTTTTGACCTAAAGGGACACTTTTTGGACACCATGGACATTTCTCAGTTTCCAGGCAGAAAGAACAGACAAAATGCAGGCAGGGCACAGGACAAAGCACTCAGGACAATATGTATGTGAAATGGGTTGAAACAGCAATGTTTTACTATGAAAAATTTG